TCTGGTCTTATTCTGGTCTTGTCTTATTCTGGTCTGGTCTTATTCCGGTCTGGTCTCATTCCGGTCTGGTCTTATTCTGGTCTGGTCTTATTCTGGTCTGGTTTTATTCTGGTCCGGTCTTATTCTGGTCTGGTCTCATTCCGGTCTGGTATTATTCCAGTCTGGTCTTTTTCTGGCCTGGTCTTAGGTTGCGTTTGTTCGGTGTCATTCCGACACCATTCCAAAGTCATTCCGCTGTGCTTTGGTTGCGGTGCGTTGGTTTGATGCACCGGACAGCGTTTGTTCCGTGCAATTCCGATTCCGGTCGCGGAATGAAGGGGGCAGAATCGATTCTGGCGATTCCAAAGAAAAAAGTGGAATGAGTGCTCATTCCGAGCGGATTGATAATGTGCGGCGGCCCCTGGGGGCTGTCACTATTGCATACCTCCGCCAACAAAACCTCAAACGCGATTGTCGACAGACGGAATGTTGCCGAAAATCGTCCAGGGTGTAGGCTGGTACTGTAACCTCGGGATAGTTACCGCTACTGGTTTGTGGCATTTTTTACCCTTCGCTGCCTGAGAAAGCGTTCGGTCAGGACAAGAACTGGATTGATGCCCTCGCACCTCTCCTCCTCATCGTCGAGCAGGGCCTCCAGAATCACTCGGTCAGGGAGGCAGGCCCACCATTGCATAGCACATAATCACCCACACAGGCACTAAACCTGCCACTCGACTTCTTCTTACAACCGCACCTCCGTCGAACAATTGATTGATTGATTGATTTTATTTTACTTCGCAAGTTCAAACGGGTTCCTGGCCCAGTTATATGAAAGCGAAGGATAGAATTTGCCAAAATCCTAATGGGCAACAGCATAGGCAATATTATCATAGAAGTGGAGTACTATGCGAGCGAGAATACTGAGACGAAAGAAACATGTCAAACCTGACGAAACCCAACCTATTTCAGGCATACATAAGGAAGGCAGGCTAGCTTAAAATCTTGCAATCTGGATACGGTGCGCACCTCTCTAGGCAAACTGTTCCACAGCAATGCTCCTGCGGTGGCGAATCTCGAACAAGCGATTCCAATCCATGAAGAGCTAGAGCCGTTTCTGTGACTGATACGAGGTCGAATACAGAATAGTCATGATGAAGTAGCGGCCAAACGCCGCGTACAGGCGCGTAACGCAGTGGAGCTCGTAGACCTGTGCCGAGTTTGGCCGCTCCTTCACCATGATCGTCGTAGGGGCATGCAGAACTAGAAAGGTACGGAAGCAAGATAGCAAACACAACATTCTTAGGCTACCAGCTTATCTTTGCAAGGCTGCAAAAAACAACACGTAGATCTCAAAAACAAAACATTCGACCGCCGTTTCCGGAGTCTCGCAAAACGTTTGCCAGATTCCCGAGTGCATGCACGCGCGTTTGTTTGCTACTCTCATTCCGACTCCGCGATGGGTATCGACTGCATTCCATGCTCATTCCGGAATGACCGAACAAATACAACCTTATTCTGGTCTGGTCTCATTCTGGTTTTGGTCTTATTTCGTTTTGGTCTCACTCCGGTTTTGGTCCTATTCTGGTCTGGTCTCATTCTCACGCTAATCTTGTAGTTCATAGGGAATGTCAGTGAGGAACGTTTAGGAACAGGACATATGTCCTATTCCCATAACTCCTTTCGGTATTTTGTCTGCCTATCTAGACAAACCCTTTGTCTGCGGTGTGGGTCTACCCCTGAGAATGCTGCAATGTTCAGATGTGCCTGTATATGCGGAAGTCGCATCTGCATTTCTCACACAATCTCTCTTATGGTATTCTTTCTGAACTCTCGTTCCCGTCGAGAATGGAATTGTTCCTGTTGCACACTCGGTAGAGCATGCTTGTCTTAATCTCATGGTCGTAGATCTGAGCACCATTTTGTCGTTGCTCTTGTACAACTGGTTCTTTCGCTGCTCTCCGACTCACACTCCAAGCAGCAGTTGTGACTGTTAGCAGAGTTCAGAAAGAGAGCTAAGATAACGAAGGAATGAAATGTGCAAAGTGCCCTGGAGTGCATTGCTAGACATTGTTTGTGTGTGCTCTTGTGTGTGTGTGTGTGTGTGTGTGTGTGTGTGTGTGTATGGGTGTGTTCGTGCATGTGTGTATGTGTGTGCGTCCTGTGATCGTGGGTTCCATATTTTCCTCTACTAAATTCATTCCCCTAGGTTGAGTACTTCTTCAAGATTCTCCAGTAACTACGGAAACAGACTAGACTTCAGTGACGGTCACAGCGCATCCTCAGTAATTGGCGTCACAATGTATTTTCATTGATGTGTCTTCTGTAACCGCTGGAATGGATATTCAGCCGCTGGTGCAGCAATGTGTTGAGAGATGCAAAGGCGAGGTTTGATGAGCTGATTTCGATGTGATATTAATCCTGAAACATAATGCAATGCCATAGTAAATGACTGTCGGCGAATTCATTCCTTTTCGCTTTCATTATAAGAAGAGAATTTATCTTTCTGTTTGAACCACACATATACTATGCATGCGTGGTGTCTGCGGGCTCTGTGATGTCATGATGTTACGGTGTCATGATGTCATGATGTCATGATCTTATGATGTCATGATGTCATGATAGATCATCTTTGTCTTATGTCAGTACAAAAATGGCAATCATGTGTGGGCTCTGTGCATTCGTTGTGAGTTATCTGATCCAGCTGCAGGGTGTGCATTTGTGTTTATTGCAGTGTTACCAGCTGCAGGGTTTGCATTTGTGTTTATTCCCGTAGCTATGCAGAAGACGTTACTTCAGTAACTTCAGTAACGTCTTGCGCTAGCAAGGGTCCACACAGCTTTAATTTGGTGTTTGTTTGTTTGTTTGTGTCACGTCTGGCGCTATACCGTATCTGTCCCGTACCGTGCCGTATCATCAAACACAGCTGGCCACATACAGCTGGCCGCAATATTCAAATAGGGCTTTCAAACGCAAGATCATAACGTGAAGAAACTTGGAAGAATGAGTATGAATGCAAAGTGTTTGGGAGAATTCATGTAGGGCCATAGTGCGGGTTCGAATTCCGGGTTATGCCTGAAAAAAATAGGAGAATTGAAAATTTTATAACATCCCTATGCTTTTAGTTTTTTTGCCTAGGTCATCAAGGCGGTTGACGGTGTCGTATTACCCTCGACAGTACCTGTCCAGTACCTGTCCAGTACCTGTCCCGTACTTGTCTCGTACCATGCCATCAAAGACGGCTGGCCACAATGCATATTCAAATAGGGCTTTCAAATGCAAGATCATAACGTGAAGCAACTTGGAAGAATTAGTATGTATGCGAAGTGTATCGGGGGATGCATGCAGCGCAGGGCGATAGTGCGGGTTCGAATCCCAGGTTATGTCTTTAAAAAAAAGGAGAAATTTATAAGAATTTATAACATCCCTATGCTTTTTTTGTCTAGGTCATCAAGCAAAAGAGCATAGCGTAGGGCCCTGAGCTTGCAAGCTCTCTCGTTGCAGTGTTACATACGGAATGTATAGCATGTGAATTAGTTTACCGTTTCGCACGGGACACTTGCAATGGCATAGTACTTCCCAGAGCTTTGTCAACTATGTTTACCAAATCTCCTATCTTCTCTGCATACTCGTATTGGCTCAAGCTGCCCATGGAAATGAAGACAATATCCAATATTAGACAGTTCATAGACCATGTTAAATGTCATGCCACGTTGTAGGCTCGCTCGCCTGTTTTGCTAGCTTATCTCGCCGCTCTCCACCATGGGCAACATAGTGATACATTTCACCCCGCTGATGCATTATTTTCTTCCGATTATCATCTTCTTTCCTTCACTCTTTCTTTTTTTTTCTCTTGCCATGGCTGGCTAACGCCCCCTCCTTTGCATTGGCTTCTGCCACTGGACGGTGAAATAATAATAATAATAATAATAATAATAATAATAATAATAATAATAATAATAATAATAATAATAATAATAATAATAATAATTTTAATATGGCAATAAGTAGGACGAGCTGAAGCGACATGTGGACTACTTTATTAACAATGTAAGCGATGGAGACGATGCAAGAAACAACCTAAAGGGTAAGGAAAAATACATGTAAGAAGAAAAAGGGCAATGGAAAAAAAAGATGATTCGAACAAGTTTTCGTACAACACTCTTCAGGAATCACCGTTGTACTAAAGAACAAAATGAGAACAAAGGAAATAATATAGCAATCAAGGTAGGGTGACACGATACAATGACAGCACTAGAATATCGAGGTGCGATTTCTCACAAAAGTGTGCAGAAAACAAGGGTATACAAGTAAGAACTAAGCGTGACAAGTGTGTATCAGCAACAAAAAACAAAAAACAAAAAAAGTGAGAACGAATGATAATAATAACAATAATAAACAAGAAGGTGACAAAACACATTTAGGCACAAGTGGCAACAACGTTGCCACACTACACAACAGAACATTATTTGAACAATTTTAGGGTAATAACACTATCTTTCTGGACACACAAATTCGGCTTATGAATGCGCTGACAAACAGCTTCCAAAACTTGTAACTGCAAAAGATAACCATGACGAGCACGGCACAAAACAGAAAAACAGGAATCAGAATAAGTACGACAACAGTCAGTACTAGAAACCAAATGATTGTATACTGAAGACTTGTTATTACGAGACGGACGCACACAATCTCGACTCACGCGCACACCCTCACACTCCCTCTCACCCTCACTCAGCTCACCTTCTCCCTCACTGTCCGAATCAGAACCTGCTCCGTCATCCACCGCGGTTTGACTCTCCTCCTCACTTGCATCGTCCTGCGTCTCACCTTCACCACCCACGCCAACCCTGAATGCCGTTGCCTTCACGTCAGTCGTCGTCCTTTCCGATTGTTTCCTTTGTATTTTTACCGTGAATTCATAGGTCCGGTTGTAATCTGCTGTAGATCTCCGTGGTCTGTCATTTGCTGCTTTGTTTTGTGGATTAGTTGTTGTTGTTGTTGTTGGATGTGAACCTGGTGTTGTTGTTGGATGTGAAGCTGGTGTTGTTGTTGCCGCCATGGTTGTTGGTCTTTCTGTTGAATCCAGCTCTGGTTCCGGTGGGACAAATCGACCACCACGGGTGCTCCCCACCAACACAGACCTCGAAGGAGGAGGGTCGTGGGTCAGGGGGAGGCAGAGGTGCTGTCACCACTCGAGGCACAGCCCCATGCAAAGCACCCAGAGGCACAGACTTAGGCACACCCGAGGGCTGCACCAGTGGCGGTTCCGCACGCACCTCCAAAGAGCTGCCAAGCTCCAGCCCGTCCAACACAGATGTCAGAGGGGGAGCGGCAGACAGCGGCAGGGAACTATCCTGCCGTCTAGGTGATGGGTTTTTCCTAGGCCTCCCGCGTTTGGGCCTCTCAGATTGCGCACTGGGTGGAAGGATGTGAAGTGGAGTGTGTTGTTTGATACGTGCGTTCAGGTGCTGAACAGTCCTACCAACATACCGACTAGCACAATGTCGGCATTCGAAGTTGTAGATAACATGACTGAGGTGGAGGGTTGGTAGGACGTCCTTCCGCACCGTGAACGCACGCATTGTTGTGAAGACTGGCACAAAATGTACTGCGTAATAAGTACGACGGACGATAGACTTGACTGCGTGACACACTTTGATCGATTCCTGCCCCTTCCATGGCAAACATAGATAGACGGGACAGCGAGGTGGACCAATCAGCACCGATTTCGGTTTCTGCTCCATGGACAGAAACTTACGCAACAAGAATTCCGGGTAGCCATTCTTCAAGAAAACAGATCGAAGGAAATCGAGCTCGGCCTGCTGCTTACTGGGCGAACAAATACGTTTCGCACGGTCCACGAGGTTACGAACTAAGTTGACCTTGTATTGAAACGAACAATAATTATGAATCGAAGGCAATGTACTGACCGGTGAACGTAGGCTTACGATACACAGAAGTCAACATTTCACAGCCAGTCTTCTCTACAAGCACGTCTAGAAATGACAACTTACTAGACTGCTCGTGCTCACAAGTAAAGCGGAGGGAAGGATGTAGGTTGTTGAGCACATCGAGAAACAATTCACTGCTCTCAACACTGTCAAAATGCGTGAACGAATCGTCAACAAAACGCACGTAGAACGCGGGCCAAAGCGACTCATCAATCTTGCACTCACAATAACCAACGAATATATTGGCGAGGACGGGACCAAGAGGAGATCCCATCGCCACACCATCTACTTGCTTGTACATCACATCGTTGAACGAAAATTCGACACCAGTTGTAACTGACAGCATCAAATGACGAAACGCCGCTTCCGATACCCATGGAGTATCAACATCATCGTTACGGTACAATACATCCATACAGATGTCAACAGTCTCATCAATAGGAACATTCGTAAAGAGACTTACAACATCGAAGGAACACATGTGTGCATTGAGAGGGACCGGACTATCACGAAGCCTCGCAACAAAGTCGAAGCTATCCTTCACAGTGCGTTTGCAATAGAAATCTTGAACAGGCTGTAGGTAGATGCACAGCCATTTCGAGATAGAGTATTGAGGGGAGGCGGTCATGGATACTATTGGTCTAACAGGGCATGTAGGTTTATGAATTTTAGGAAGGCCATAGAGTCTAGGGCGAAGGGTACCAGTCGGTTTGATGCGATCGAATTCATGTTTTGATATTTGTTCTTCATTCTTTAGCTTCTTAAGGTAAGTTACAAGATCCTTTTCTACTTTTTCAGTTCGATCACAGGTCTTGACCGGACCAAGTGTACGGAACTTTGATGTGTCATTTAGGATAACGGACATCTTCTCGATGTAGTCAGTTTTATTCATTAAAACAGTTGCACGACCCTTATCCGGGCGCGTGACAATAATGTCTTTGTTATTACGTAGCTCATGCAGGGCTTTGAGATGTTCGCGTTTCAATGAAAACGTTCTTCTATCCGGTAATGCATCAGCGTGTTCCTCGGCCTCTGCCCGGATCTTTGCGGCGCAAATGGACTGTTGTGACTCGGACACCGGTCTGAAGCGTAATAACTTGCGGTAAAAGAGCTCAAACTCGGTCATGATTACTTCCTTCTTGTTTGATTTTGGTGGAATCCCGAAATCGGTTCCACGACAGAGGAGCTCTTTCTGAAGAGTGGTCAACTCTAGTGATGTCATGTTAATTATGGTAGTATCAGGATCGATGGTGACATGTCCATATCGTTTCTGTCTTAGCCAATTGTAGGTCTTGTCATGTTTTGTGATTAGATGGATACGTTGTTTCTGGTCATTTTCCGAAAGGAGCATAGAGAATCTCAAGAAGTCGTGAGAGGAGAGAAGGCAGCGTGCACGATCATACAAATACCTAAACCGCGAACGTGACTTTGACAAAGTGTCGCAGGACCGGGCAATCTCGTCTTTCATGAATACGCGTTCGATGTTTAACGTGTGGTAAGCTTTGGTCCTGCGGACACGGTTCTCTACACCACCTGGACAAACACCATTGTCCAGACAACGTCTAAGGAA